CTCGCTCAATTGCCTTTTTGCATTGGTGTGTCTTCTCAGTATTTGGAGCAAGTGTAACGTGATGCCGCAGGGTACTGAGTAGGATGATTTTTGAGAAGGGGAAGAGAGAGTTTTTTTTTTCTTGGCGCGGCTGACTCGTTGTGCTGAAGCATTCCATTTGCTTCCAAGAAAAAGACCCCTTCTATTGGCGGTTTTTTTTTTCTTTCCCTGTGGTGTACTCGGAGCACCGCTGCATAACGGGGAATGGTGCCATAAAAAACGTTTTTTTTTTTAATCCTTGTAAATCAATTCCAGAAACTCTTGCCAACTGGGGGTCGCTGCGCAGCGTGTGGGCAACGCTGTTTAATTCGACAAATGTATTGTTTGCGCCTCAGTGCCTCTTACGTGACGTGTCTTTTTGTAAATGACTTTGAAGTCTTCTTTTTTCCTGTTATTAATAGGATGCTGTTTGGATGCCTTTTTTCTGGGTGAGGATAACCATCACCTGTTTCCTGTGTTTACAGGGGGGTGATTGGTTAATGTTGGAACTTAAAAGGGGGAGGGGGCGAAGGGAACCCGACACCTGACACTCTGTAGTCGTGTTTATTCAGAACGGATGCATGATTCTTTGGTGCGTGGGTGAGAGACCCGAGTGAGTCGTGATTTCTTCGTGCATTTTCTTTTTTTTTTTTTTCGTGTTTGTGTGCGTGGGGGGTCCCTTTATTTTTGCGTCTGAAAGAAGGGGAAGGGGAAGAGAATATTGCGGGCTGCCGCGGGGGCTTTGAGCAGGCCATGGAAAACTTTCACTGGGACGAGATGGGAATCGCCACGCGTGATGACCCGGACCCGCTGTGGAACGGCTATTTTAGTCGCAGGTGTGGTTCCTGCGGAAGTGCCACAAGCTTTGGCGATCCACGCGGTAGTCAATGCTCCATGCGCCTTGGCAGTCGTTTCAGTTGCCGCTCCAGCGTTCGCGGCGAAGGACATACCATCGACGAGACCAGGCGCAAGCAGCGGGTGATTCGTTACATGCAGGAGGAGCGTGAGCGTGCCGCTCGCTCGAAACTTGAGCGGGAGAAGCATGAAGACTGGATGAGTATTCGCGCGCTGGAGCGCGGGGAGCGTATGCAGTACATGACCGACGAGGAGAGAACGGCGTTTTTCCAGCGGGAGGCAATGGAGGCGGAGCGCGAAAGAGCCGCTGCCGAGGAGGCTGCGCGGGCCGCTTTAGGCCGGCGATATTCCGCGAGGAACCCGATGCCGAGGGCGGCGAAGGAGCGGCGTGGCGTGATGGAGGCGGCCACCGCCGTGTCTAATTCGCATGAGGCGAGTATTGCGGTGAATCGAGCGCCCGTCAGTTATGAAGTGGAGCATCTGCAGAAGAAAATGGCGGAGATTCAACGGCAGGAGGCGGAACTCCAATTTAAACTCCGTCGTGCCCAAGATGACGCTGCTGCTGCGCGAGCCGATGCCGAAAATGCCAGGCAAATGCAGCGCTCCGCGGAAGAGAATGTTCTGCGTGAGGTAAAGCGAGCCAATGACGAGTCCGCCCTAAGGAAACTCGCCGAAAGCCGCGCCGAATCGCTGGAAAAACGTGTCGAGGAGATGCGCAAGGGAGTCACGGAGATGGAAGAAGAAGTGCAGCGAATGAAAAGGGAGGCGGATAAGAACATGTCGATGTTCCGTGAGAATGAAAAGCAGCTGGCATCCCTTCGAGAGCAGTTAGGGGATGTCCGGGAGAAGAATGAGCGGCTCCAGGATGAACACAAGCAGCTGCGGGTGGAGAAGAATGCGGTAGCGACGCGGGCAAAAAATCCTCCTCCGCAGTCGGTAGAGAAGCCGAAACCAAAAGCAAAAAAACAGCAGCAGCAATCCACCCGTACGAATGCATCGGGCGGAAAATTTGGGCCTGCAGGGTCCAATTTCTCTCGGCGGCCATTAGAGGCCGAAACGAATTCTTCAGTAGACGCATGGGGCGAGATTCAGCCCCTGCGCGAACAGTTAGAAAGGCAGTCAAGTGCGTTGAAACGTTTCAGTGATGAGAATGATGAGTTAAAAACGAAATTGCGAGATGAAACGGAAATGAGAAGAAGGCTTGAGGAACTTTCCGCGCAGTCCCTCCACCCCAAGGATGATGGTTCCCTCAGAAGACAACTGGAGCAGGCGGAGAAGGAGGCCGAGCGATTCAGGGCGGAGGCGCGGGCTGCTCGGCAGGAACTAGATGACGCGCGAGTGAATTACGGTAGAGAAATAACGTCTTTGAATGCCTGGTGTGCGCGTCTGGATGCGCAGTGCAAGCGTCAAATGAGTGAGCTGCAAGATCGGGCGCCACGCGATGAACTTAATACTGAACCAACAAGACGCAAAAAGGACATGCAGGGCGGTGTGGGAACCGCCAAGGCCATTGCAGACGCGTCGTATGCCAGTGATTCTGCATCGAGCAAAAAAATTCAGGCCGAGCTGAGTAGGATGCATACACGAATGGAAGAATCCGAGGACCAAAAACAGAACGCCATCGCCAAGGCGGAGTCATTGGGGCAGAAGAGGGGATCTCCTCCTCTGAATGAACAGCACGACAAGCTTGGCACTCAGAGCCATAAAGATGCCTTGTTCAGGATTAACAAGGAGGTGAGTGAAGGGAAGGATGCTGTGCGAGGTGCGATTGCGGCCGAGGGGAATAAGGTGGAGTTGGTTCAGGGAGCGAAAGGCTTACTCCCAGAGAAAATGACTCCAAATGAGGCCAAACCGCTTCGAGCGCAGGTGGTGGAGGACGCGAGCGTCGGAAATGGGATATCTTCTGCAGTTACCAATGGGTTGCCAAATGATGCGGAGATGGAGGAGGCATGTAAAAGAACGGCACTTCTGCAGCAGGAAATGGAAGGGGAAGGGCGAGCTCACGTTGGCGACGGGAGCGAAGATGCCGCACGGAATGCACGCGCTGACAAGGGGACTACTGCTGCTGTCAGTGAAAAGGTGGAGAAGAAGAAAAAGGCCAAATGTGGCTGCTAAACGAAGGATGTGACAAAAGATTACTTTGGAGATGAAATGAGGGCTTAACCCATATTTTACCCCACCCCCCTCATCCGCAGTGTAAATTATATATAATAATAATAGAGAGCGTGCAATGGAGGGAGGTATGGAGATGGTGGGAATTGCTGGTGTTTATTTATATTTATGTATTTGTTGTTGGGCTCATCGTTAAGCCCGAGTATTTTATACAATTCTTTTTTGTTTTTTATAAAATTCAGTCGACCTCTCTCTCTTTCCTTTTTTTCCTTTTCGTTGTTGTTGTTGTTTTCAATTGGGATTGGCAGGTGAGAGGCCCTTTTATTCTCCCCTTGTCTTCTTCTTTGTTCCGCGCCCATACGAGGTTTGATTGTTGTCATGTTCCCTCTTCCCCTCCCCCCACCTTTTTTTCTCTCTCTCTCTTTGCTGTGCGGTTTGTTTTTTTACCTCCCCCAAGACCATGCCTTCTTTTCCTGCGGACGCGAATTCCAATGAATTGAACTTGTCCCTGTCGCCTCCCGTGGAGTTGCAGCACGTGGAGGAGAGGATAGCACGACGACGTAGTACCCTTCCGGAATTGTCCCTTCCAGACACCTCAGGAGGGATCCCTGTCTCCAAGAACAGCTCCTTTGTGGAGGCCAATTTCGTGGCCGATCCCCAGAGATGGAATCATCGCTTCACCGGGGCGTTTACCTCCCCTGTAAAGGACGAACCGGTAAAAGAAAAAAAGCCGGCGCCAATGGATTCAAAGGTAAAAAGACCACCAACTCCTGAAATTACGTGCTGTTCGTTGTTTTTTTAGTTAGGTATTCCCTCTGCATTCTTACGCCGATCCGCGTTTTGGAGAGCGATGCCTCACCGAATGATGCCACTTCCGGACTGATGGCTGGGAATGCAATTGCAATATGCACTCACAACAACAACAAAATAAAAAATAAAATAAAATTATTATTGTTATTATTATTATTGCCGTGTGTGTGTGTGTTTGTTTGTTTGTGCGTTAAAAGGATGTGTGCCACTCTCTTTTTGTTTTTTTGTTTGTTTTAGAGGAAAAAAAACGGATTCCAGGACAATTTATTGGAGGCATGGATAACTGCGGTTTTTTCCCCATGTTTTTTTTTTCTTTTTTTCTACAGGGCACATGCAACGGAGAATTGGCGGAACCGCCCCAAGTAGTGGTGAACACGATATGAAAGGCACCCGGCCGATGTTGGTGTTTTTGCGAGGCGAATAGCCATAGAAGGGGGAGGGAGGGGCAGTACATCTTTTGCTCCCTGCGCTGCAAGACCGATTGTTTTTATTGGAGCTCTACTGGGACAATGGCTTTTGGCTTGTGGGTTTTTTTCTTCCCGTTTGGTAAATGGATGCAGCTTGCAATCGAAGGCATCAATGCACTAACGAAGATGGTGGGGGTTTTGTTTTATTTATTTATTTATTTATTTATTATTATTGAGTTTCACATTTCATCATTTTACTTGGAAGAACGGTTGCCTCTCCTATTGTGCGATGCAAACATCTTTGGCTTTTTTCATGGCCAGCCGGGGGGCATGGCAACACACATTCTTTCAACTTGTGGACACGAATGGGAGGGTGGGGGGAAAAGGACAACTGACGCCTGAACCAAAAAATTGGGTGTTTATTCCCTTTTCTTCTTTCTTTTGGCTCCCTTGCATGTGGGCGTACGGGAGATTTTTGGCTCTGAGCACTGCGGTCAGGGTCTGCCACGATGCGTTGAATCCCGAAGGATCAACGTGATGGAATTTGCAAGATTTCTGGTGCATTCTTCTTTAATGACATGATTGCCCAGTGCATCGGTGTGCAATGTTGTTTTTTGTTTGTTTGGCTTTTTTTTCTTCCCTTTTTTGTCTTTCCGCCGTGCTATTTTCTTCTTTGGTTTCCTCCCCCCTTAGTACACACTGTCGGTTTTTTTAAGCGATTTTTTTGAATTTTTTTTTATTTAGGGGAAAGACACGATGGAAACAGCAGCCGAACACTGTTTGGCGGCCCTTATTGACAGTGTGGGCAGTGGGGGTCCAATTTTTAGGCGGGAGGCAATCGGGGCCATTGCGAAGTTGTCGGAGAACGGGACATCCGCTGTCCTGAGGTTTTGCGTGACGTGGCTGAATGAACATGGGGCCAATTCCACCCCAGTCATACAAAGATGTGGAGTTGTCTGCGCCATGGCAACGATTGTGGGGGGCGTCGGCGATGAGGAACTCTCCACGCGCGAGGCAATCGCCCTGTTGCAGTGCGGCATACGGGAGATGACCGTCAATTCCGACCTCACCTCAGAGTTATCACAAGAAGCTTTACGCTTGGTTGTGGGACTCTGCGTCATGTTTCCTGCAGAGGGTTGCCGTGAGCTGCTCTCGTCTCTAGGGGATAACACACTCCCACACTTTTACGTGCTGCTGGCCATTTCACACCTTGCAGAAAAGGTGCCTGAGCGCATTCTGCCATACGTCAAGGAATTTCTCACGAGACTGTTGCCTCCTTTGGGGAACGCAAGGCAGGACAACCATCGAATGCTGCTTTCTCGGGCGTGCGGGAGTCTTGCGGAGGCACTATTGAAGATGCGTTTTGATGCACGAAGCCCTTTAGAAGAGTATAATGATTTAATGTACTCCACATTGAACTTTTTTCTTGGCGACTACAGCCGCAGCAACGAGCGCCGTGTGCGTACTTTGGTTGTTTATGCTCTCGGATGTGTTTTTGGGGTTTGTGGTGATGAGAAAAGGATGGAGTTGGCAGGGAAGGTGGCTCCGTTGGTCATTTATGGCGTGCGGCGTGAAAAAGGGCACGATGTATTGTTTCCCTTGCGTGGATTGGCGGGTTTCTTTTCGTACGTTACGGATGGGGTGCGCTCTTCTTTACGGCCATTCGTGGAGGGGACACTTCAAGCCATCATGCAGACATTGGAGCATCTCGGTGCAGAAGATGTAGAAACCAAGGAGGAGATTTTTGCCGTCATTATGGCTATTTCAGACTCATTTGTTTCAGAGGTTCTTGCGTACTTATCGGTTTTTTTGGAGGCCAAGAAAGAGTTACATCTCCGCTGCGCCGCAGTTTACATCCTGCGCATGCTCGTATTGCAGAGTAGGAATCAAAAGCTCTTCCTTCAACCCTTTGTCAATGATATTGTTGCCACTGTGAAATTGGCGTTAGGATCGCATGAGGATTCAATGGTGCGGAGGGCTGTGGTGGAGTGCATCTTAACCATCTGTTCCTCCGAAGCGGATTTTGCCTCGGCGGTAGGATACAGTGACATGTTATCATATTTAATCCGCTGTGCCTCTCTTCACGATGAAGTGGATGAAGGCCTTATTGCGGTAAGGGATATTAGCCGCAACGGGTTGATGCTTGTGGCCTCGTCCAAGGGCGCACTGGATTCTCAGTTATGGCCGTTTATATTTGAGCACATGCGTGAATACCCTGCCAAACCTTTTCTTCTTTGTGCCTTTTCCTCCATTTGCAACGTCATCACTCAGCTGGCGAGCCGAATATCGCATAACAGTTCGTGCTTTTATGTGGACTTTTCAAGGCAAGTCAATGTTCCTTCCCCGGGAATGCTTGTCTCGGTATTTCTCTCACAGTCCATGCTCATTGGTTTTTACCGTGTTGAGGAGCTTCTCACCATATTGGAGGCGGCATTGTCTGTCGCCCCTCTTATAGACGACCCATACGCTCAATCTGTGGAGGAGGGTGGAGGTGCCGCCATGCCCATTACCGAGTTGTGGAGCACCTTCATTCCAAGCCTGCAACAGCTTCTGACGGCGGAGCCTGCACGGGAAGTGTGGGAGGTGGAGGTTGAGCGGCTGGTCGACAAGACAATGAAGGTGAAACAAAGTGAAGAGTGGGCCATGCATCTTACGACGGAATGCTTGAGTCTTCTGCAGGCGTATCAACAGGATGCACGCATGTTTCGCAGTGCACTCATCATTGTGGGCATTGGATGTAGCCGAACGGCGAGTCGCGACCTCATAGCCAGCGCCGTGGAGACCGCCGTAAATGCCTCCAATCACGATGATCCGGAACATGTCATTGGTCTGGCCAAGTGCCTTGGGTACGTGGCGAAAAAACACGTGGACACGACCCTGGAAACTTTGTGCCGGCTTGCCAAGGGCGCGGAAAAGCGGGGTTTTTTTCATTCAAGGGACAAAACGAAGCGAGTGTTTGTAGAAGGATCCCGCTCGGTTGCTGCGGTTGGTTTTGGGTATGCTTGTAAATGTATGGAGATCGCCGCGCTACCCTCTCGCCTCGACACGGTTGTCTTTCCATCATTGCTGACGCTTTTGCGTGAGGGCCACACATCACAGTGTCAAATATCACTTTTTGAGGGTTGCCGCCTTGTGGGTACTGGTATTGCAAGACTAGACTCTTATTTCTTTAAGTGTCGAGACGAATTTATACTGTCGTTTGTTCGCTTCATGCAAATGACATCAAAGAAAAAAACAAAGGAAGAAACACATCCTACTGCCTTTGCTGCCTTGGAATCAATTGTCTCATGTACTTTGCTACCACCTCTTGGAGATAATGGCACTGCGGCGCTGATTGAGTTTGTCAAGATAAGCGTAACTGAGTGTCACATGGTGAACGCCGAGAAGGATGTGAATGTGACGAATCTTTTTGTTCAGATTCTTCGTCACCGTGATTGCCGATATGCAATGAGAATGCTTGAGGAACTTGCACCGTTGACAGTCCTTGAGAACGATGGTGCAAGGTGTCTAGCCGTGAAGTTGGTCGTGACCGTTCTGGCTGCCTGCCGAGCGAGCAGGGAGTCTGGTGCTGATGGTGCCGCTGAGCAACCACATACACTAGCTAGCATGGGGTATATCCTTGGGCGATTGGTGCCGCGCATGATGGACCGCTGCCCCTCCGTGAGGATGGAGGCCGCAAATGGAATTGTATCGGGCATTCAAACGGCTCGTCTGTTCATGGAAAACCCGCAACCGATGGAGGAAGAGGTAACAGAGGAAATATTGAAACTGGGAAAGCGAGCCCATGCCTTTGTGGATGATGGCACGTTGAGTTCTGAGAAGGAGGCTGTTTCTGTTGTTAAGAGCATGTGTACCATTCTTGCACAGCAACTACAGCAGCGGGAGGACACCACGGCACTCATTAAGGCACTGCTGTTTAACAGTATTTTTGATACGCAAAAATACGCCGCTACTGGTGCGTGCATCACTATGCATGGTTTAATTCGGGGTTGTGGTGGTGTGTTGGACGCATCCGATGTGCGAGAAGTCTTTGATGGCCTCATTGCAGCACTTCAAAGAGACAATCTACCGGAGCAGGTGCGGAGCGGAGTGCAGACAAGCATCCGTAACCTCACTCGTCATCACGTCGCTCCTTGCTTTGTTGCCCTGCTGCGTTCACAACTCCCGCACAGCGAGGCGGTGATAAATTCCTTTGGGGCCACTGCGAACGACACGACGCTCGGGGAGCTTTTGGTTCAACACATTCTGGATTTTGTCTTGAACAGCCCCACGACAATCGCCGCAGCGCCAACTGCCAAAAAGCCGAGTGACCTTCAGGTTGTCTCCCCGATCGTCCTCTCCGCTGTCTGCGCGGTGGGGTGGGTGGCGCAGACGGATCGCGGTGCCTCCGTTTGCCGGAATCACCGCGCCTCTCTCTACATGGCGATTGTCCTCCATCTTTCTGTATGCCACAGGATGAATGATCATGACGCTGTTGTGATGAGCGGAACGGCCTTGAAGCATGTCACATGTGGCACGGTAGACGATGTTACTGTTGTGCGCTTTGATCGGTATGGATGGAAGAATTTTTTTGAGAAGCAGAAATATCTTTTGGCTATTGCGGAAGCTGTTCGTTATTGGTGCCGAGAAGGGTTGGGGGACAGCAACGAGATGGACCGTGGGAAGGCCGCCGACGCAGATGGACGGTTTCCGATGGAGCCTGCTGAACCCACGCAGCTTACTCATGAGTTGGCAAAGTTTATGCTTCCCTACTGTTCTCATGTCTCTCCAACCCACCGGAAAGCTGCGGCTTGTGTCTGTAGCGAGCTTATTGCGTATGCGTTGGGGGACGAAGAACTTGTGCGATCGTTAGTGACGGCGTTACTCTCCATGACGGGCTGTGATGAGGAGGCGGAGACGCGGGAAACTATTATTGGTGGTATGGCGAACATTCTTGTTCATCCGTATGCGTCCGTTCATGGGTTTGTGCCGCCGATTCTCTCGGCGACTCTGGCGTGCATGGAACAGCAGCACACTTCTCTTGCGGCGAAGTCTATGGACATTGTTGCTCTCTTTGCGGAAGTGTTGGAAGATAAATCTTTTATAAATGGATCTTTTGTGACTATTGCGACAAAGTTGAGATCATTTTTTGAGCATGACGATGCGCAGCTGAGGGCCAAGTCATTTGATTGCCTTCGGAGGTTTTACTCGCTCGCTCACCGTGGCATATTGGAGCGAGCCTCAGTGAATCAAAATGTCTTTCCATACGTGATACCATTGTTGATTCACTTGGGGGAACATGATATGACTGTTTCCACTGCTGCAAAAGCTGCATTACACGAATGTCTGACGTTTATATCTGTTTTTCAGCATGAGGCAGGGGAACAAATTGTTCGGATGCTATCGAAACCTCACATGCATACGGATCGTGAAACGGATATTGACGACATTTATGACGATGTGGCCTCAACTTGGGTGTCGCACTTTCACGGCATGACGAGGGAGTACGTTTTGCAAGCTGTGACCTTTACACGATCACCTAATGAGGCGTTGCGTCAAAGCGCTGCTCGGATTCTTGGGGCTTTTATCCGTTGTATTCCTCGAATGGATTTGTCTCGCTGCGGTGTGGAGCAGGTTTCTGCCTCTCTAGTGGAGCTCGTGGGCACCGGAGAGAAATCCGAGATTGTTCGTGTGGCAGCCGCACGGGCAATTGGCTGCTTTGCTAGTATATAATTGCTATCTACATCCTAGTAGTATTATATATATATATATATATTGCCTTTTCGTTTGCTTTTGTTATTAATATATTTTTTGGGGGGGAGATCTCCTCTTTTTTTGATTTTCATGCAGCCATGGATGGTCCTTTCCACTTTTTTTCTTTTTTTTCCCGGTGAGCACCACCGCAATGTGACCGGCCTCTTCTCTCCTTACGAGCAGTGTCCCATAGAAGTCACTTCATGGACTCGTTGACTTGCACACGGGGCGAGTTTGACGAGATGCTGGAGGACCTCTCAAAGCGCGGCCTGGGATGGCGCGCCTGCCGCCGGAGCGATTCTTTTGGTCGAACTCTCAAATGGCTTGAGGGTTCCAGCATAATTCAGCGTGATGCGCCGTGTGGCCAAGCAGAGCAGCTCCTTGTGTCGTACTTTATTACCTACAGTGAGTGCTACTCCCAACCGCAGCTGTACTTTGCTCCAGAACATCCGATGAGCCCACAGGAGATGTGTACGTGGATGGGCAAAGTGTGCTACGGAGCGGTGGAAAGGCAAGAATACGATGCGCCTGTCGTCTCAATGAATTTCTCTGAGGAAATACAAATGCCGGTGTGGGGCCTTCATCCGTGTGACGCCACCCAACTGATGATGAACAATTCAGCGAACGGCGTCAGAAGTGTGAATCTGCTCGAACTGTTTCTTCGCAGCGTCGGTCATTTTGTCGGTGTGGATGAGCGGCTTCTTCCTTTACATGTGGCGGGTCAGCAGAAGTGAGTGGAACGGCCCCAAGACATGCCTGGAAAGAGAGAAAAATGGTGGGAGACGAAAAGAACAAAGTGGGAAACGGGTGCCTAGTGTCTTTCTGTTGGCTATCTGTCCGTGTGTGTGTGTGTTTGCTTTTATATTTCTTTGCTTGAGTGTTTTCCTTTTGAGCTGCTTCACTCTTCTCCTTTTTTTTTTTTTTTTTTGCAGAAGCTGTTCCACTGATGCGTCGTTCTTGGCGTATGTTCCAAGCAGCGGAGCGGGGGCCGTTTGACCCTTACCGCATCTTGGGTCTTTCCCCCAATGCGGGTAAGGAGGAAATAAAGAAGGCCTATCATCGGCTTGCGCTGCGTTACCACCCTGACGGCGGGCCGGAAGGGTCCACGGAACGTTTTCAGGCCGTGAATGAGGCGTATGAGGCACTGAGAAGTGGTAAATGGCGACCCGAGAAAGTGAATAAGGACCCCATGGAGGGTAAGGGATATGGATGGGACCCACGAATGGGAATGTACGTCTACGAGCAGCCTGGATCTACGACTGAGAATTATGTGGACAGTCGCACACAAACCATCCTGCGTCTCTGCGTGTTGTGGACGGCAGCGTTTGTGGTCGTTCGCTTTTTTCTTCTCTGGATATTCCCCTTTTCAAGGGAGCTGCCAACCGTTGAGTGGGTCGCAGCGAATAACGTGGGTGGCACCAAAGACGCGAGATCACAAACGAGGGGACTCCATGGAAATGTCGGCACGTCACCGCATTCTGTTCACGCAAACCAGGACACGGGGTTTGACGGCGCTCTGGATAATTCTGGTTCGACGTTTGCGCATCTTGATGCCGATCCGCTACGGAGGAGATGACGTGCGAAGAGAGGGGGGTGTAAATGTTTGGTGATATCTGTTCTGCTGTGGTGCGGGGAAGAACAAAAAAAAAAAAAGGGTGGGAAGAGGGAATCTGATTGTGAGTGGAAGACTACCCAATTGTCAGTGATGGTGATGCATAAAGACTAGTGCTTTGGAATTTTCTATTGCTTTTTTTCCTTTTTTTTTTTTTTTTTGTCTCCTTCATTTATTTGGCGCAGAGGAAATCACAGCTATGGCGCTTCAACGGGACACCGTTCAAATAATCACCCCGTCGGCTCTGCGGGCCCGGCACTTTGGGTTCATCCTGCAGGGTGGTGTCAAGTGCATTGTTATTCAAGATGACAATGCGAAGATTCCTGCCGCGGCGATGAGCATTCACGCTGGGCAACTCAATGATCCGGAGTTTCTCCCCGGTCTGGCGCACTTCTGTGAGCACATGCTGTTCATGGGTACAGCCAAGTACCCACGTGAGGATGAGTACAACAGTTACATTAGCAAGAATGGCGGCCACTGCAATGCGTGGACAGAAGATGGAAGTACGACTTACTACTTTACCGTGGCGCACGATGCGTTGGAAGGGGCGCTGGAGCGCTTCGTTGAGTTCTTTGTTGCCCCGAGTTTTAACTCCAGCGCGTTGTCGCGGGAGGTAGAGGCGGTGCACAGTGAGGACGAGAAGAACCACAACGTGGACTTTTGGCGCATCGACGAGCTGGAACGCTCCCTTTTTGATCCCCGGCACCCGCGCTACCGATACGGCAACGGCAACATCACAACGCTGCGGGACGCTCCCCAAGCGAGGAACGTGGACATTAGAGCCGAACTGCTGAAATTTTTTGACGCACATTACGTCTCGGAGGCGGCCTGCCTGGCGGTGTATAGTGCGTTGCCACCGGAGACCGTTCTTCACATTGTCGAGGCCCCGTTGTCAAAGATGCGGGTGGGAAAACCGTCTGCACTCCGCTTCCTACCGAAAGAAGACCCGCTTTACGCAGCTGATACAAGGGGCTTGTGGCTCAACGTCCGTACTATCAAGAAGATCCGGAAAGTGCGTATTGTTTGGCCTGTAAAATCTTCCGCTGCTTTGTGGCCTTCAATGCCGAGTGATTATGTGTCCTACGTACTTGGACACGAGTGTGACTGCTCGGTCTTTGGCGTCCTGCGACGCGAGTATATGGCCACCGCGATGGTTGTTGGTCCCAGTCGGGTCGATGACGATAATGATTTGCTTTGTGTGGAGATCACGCTGACGATGGATGGATTGAGACGCATTGTGGAGGTGATTGATATCTTGTACCAGGGAATTGGCCTTGCGGCTCGCGTGGACAGTGCCGTTTATGCGCAAATGAAGGCCGAAAAAAAAATCAACTTTGAGTCATCCGATATCGGTGAGAACGCAGATCACTGCGCCGCTTTGGCGTCCTCGGCGAATCAAACGAGTTTGCAGCACTGCTGGGCCGCGGGAGAATTGCTGCTTGAAGATGACATCCCCGCTTCGGAGGCCTACACGGCACAACTGACACCCGAAAATGGTGTCGTGATGTTGGCGTGGGGGGATATGCCCTGTGACGATGCGGCAACACCCGCACCAGTGGCCAATGACGAAGAGGGAGAAGACAATGAAGAATGTGAAGAGGAACAGGGGGAAGAAGAAGAAGAAGAAGAAGAAGAAAAGGAAGAGAAGGACGAGGCTGCGTCGGGTCCGCTGGATGCCCTGCCTGAGTTTGCCCAGCTCGCATGCAATTCTGCCACACGCTTTCACATGACGAAATTTTCAAAGTGTCGCATTCCGGACGAAATAATTGCAGGATGGGCTGCCAGTCGCTGCGGACCGCGGCATCCCGCGCTCGCGTTACCGCCTGCCAATCCGTTCCTTTCGACGGAGTTTACGGTGTACGCGGGCGATGGCCGTCACGCCACTGTCGAGACGTTTCACACCCCATATGGCGTGGCGCTTGTGCGGAAGGACGCGGGCCACCACAAGTCTTTCAATACATCCATCATTTGGAGATGCCTCTCGCCCTGTGCCTACGCTTCGCCAAGGAACCTGTATTACATGCATGTATTGAGGGCCATCTTGAACGACGCCGTTGCTGAGATTAGTTACTTTGGGTTGCTGGCGGCGCTTCAAAACGATATCCAGTTAAGTGCCGGGGGTCTTGTGCTCAGCGTGACGGGACCGCAGCACCGCATTATGGAATTTTTCTTTGCCATATTTGAGAAGTTGTTTACTCCTGCCGTGCTTTGTGGTTCTGTGGAAATGTACAGCAACTATGCGGAACGGGAAATGCGCGCACTTCAGAGTAAAAGAACGAAACAGCCGTACACGCTGGCAGGTGACAGGTTCATGAAGGCGGCTAGGGTCGTTGCATATACATTTGACGAGGTGATTGAAGCAGCTGTTTCCACTTCGTATGAGGAGTACCAAGCATTTGTTAAGGAGTACCTGGCGAGCGGCGTGTACTTTGACTGCTTTGTTGCGGGAAATATTCCCTCCTCGAAGGACGTTCAGAGTCGCCTGATTGTGGGTGCACAAGAGATTCTCTCCCGGCTCCATGTTTCCCCCGCTTGTAAGGAAAAATTTCCGAAGTTTTGTGACACGTACGCCTTTCCGTGCGTCTCTTCATTACCGCATGCTCCGTTGGTGGACGTGCTGATTTACCCTCCGTTTGATGAAACCAACTCCAACGTTGCGGTGCTGTTTGACATTTACGTTGGTGAAGAGACTCCACTTCTCCGCGCCCTTTGTGACAGTACACATCAGCTTTTCTCTTCCAGCTTTTTTGATACCCTTCGCACGAGGGAAACACTCGGGTATGTCGTGTATTCGCAGTCCCTTCGAGTGGAAGGCACGGCACATTTGCAATTTGTCGTTCAGAGCGCCGTGGAAGGAGTCGATGGTGCGTACCTTCTTTCTCGCATCATCGCCTTCTTGGCAGCGGTGGAGGAGAAATTGGAGACGGTGTGTGCTGAGGCTGAGGTGAAAACTGTTGTGAACGGCCTCATCGAGCGACGCCGGAAGCTGCCCGACTCCGTGGAGAAGGATTCTTTGGACCTTCTCCACCGCCACCTGCACCCCGTGGACTTTGCCCACAAGGAGCTTGAGATTGAGGAGCTGAAGCAACTGGACTCCGCAAAGGTGAAGGAATTCTTCCGCACACATGTTGCCAATTCAAGCAACTCTCGACGTGCGCTGGCTGTTGTGGTTCACAATGCGGCGTCGGTGAAAAATGATGTCCTTGACGGAGCTGATGGGGTGCGCCGCACCGTGACGCTGCCACCGCGGCGGCCAGGCAAGGGGTCCGTGGAGGAGGTTGATAACGAGTCAACGGAAAGCGTTCTTCAGCTGCCCGACTTTGTGGCAGCACCGATGTCTATAACCGTTCAAAAACACCCGTCACCGGAGGATTTTCACCGTCACTTCCCAATTGTTCCGGGCAAGTCCTTTTAGACTTTGGCGATGAGTTGAAATGTGGCTGAACAAGGCTTTTAAAAACATAAAATAATTAAATTAGCTCTTGTGTTTTTGTTGTTTTAGAGGGAAGGGGCGGGTTGGTGTCATCTCTGGTCTGAATTGAGGCTGCGCGTGGTTGTTTACGGTTGATGTGGCTTATTTATTTGTTGTTATTGTTGTTCACCTTTGTTCTTTCTGAGTAGGGAGAAGGAAGGAGGGCACTGTCTTTTTTTTTTAATAGTAGTTTGTTGCTTTTATAGGGATGCATGTGGATTCCGATGAAGAGGCAGCTGCCGCGTGTACGGCGGCGAAATGGAGAGCTCCACAGAGCGCCACGACTACAAATCTCCCGAATGCGGCCCTGGGGAATATTGTCACCAAATTACGCAACCTGCGGGAAGAGCTTGTCAGCTTCGATGAGAGTGTTCCAGATATTGTCACCTTCCGCGTCGACGGCAGGCTTTTCTCTGTGCATCGCGAGGTGTTGCGGAAAGACCCGCAGTCTGTGCTCTTCCTGATGGCAGCGACACATTTTCGGCGTTACGGTGATGGAAATCCAATGCGTGAAGTGATTGAGATTCCAGGCAAGAACGCGGCCCTCTTTGGTATGTTAATGAATCTTCTACGTGGGTATCGGAACCCTATTCCGGAAGCATACCGAGAGGTTTGTTTAGCAGAAGCACGGTTTTATGGATTGGAGCACTCATGGGAGTCGCGTTACCCTGTTGCGGCCACCGGTCCCTTTCGCCCGTTCATTTGCAGCGACAGACTTCTCTCGGATGCTTTGTGCGCCGCGGCGAGTCCGTTTTACTCCAACGGGCTTCACTTCATCACTTTTGGGATATCACGCTGTGAGACGGTGGGGGTGGGGGTTGGGGCGGAGGGTGCATGCCTGAGTTGGATGGATGGCATGGGCCAGTGCGAAGACTTGGCCCTTTACTGGAACGACGGGCGAGTGACCCACAATTTTGGAGGCCTGTTCACGGAGAAGACGGGCTGCTCGTTTACCTCCAACGCGTTGATCAAAGTTGAGTTGGACTGCGAGGAGAACATCGTGCGATGGTCGCTCTCGGGCGAGCAAAGTGTGGCCGTCGTTCGCCTTCCGCCAAAGACGAGTTTTGCGTTTGCAGCGGTGCTTGTGGGACCATCCGAGGTGCGGATATTACGCGGGGAGTAGCTTTTATTACTGTGTGTGTTATTATTATGGATTGATTTATTTATTTGCTGGTGGGTACTTTTGTCGCCTTTCCCTCTTTGCGGATGTGCGGTGGTCGCCGGTATGTGTTCTCCCAGTTTATCTCTGCGTCCGACGACAATCCCCGAAAACATTTTTTTTTGCTTTTTTTCTCTCTTGGCGTCGGAGCAGCGGCAGGGTTTTCGCCTTCATTGTTATTATTATTATTATTGTTTGGGGATTAGCAGGAGTCGGGTCGGTGGAAGAAGTGTCGTGTGTTTTTAGTGAAGAAAGAACCAATGCGCCGGGTGCTGTTGGGCACACGTGTCACCGGCCTGCCGCTGTGGTGCGGCTGCCGTTGCTCCTCTGGTAAAACTGAAGGCCAAACAACGCGAGATGACGGTCATCCGTCTGCAGCTGAGGCATCGGCACCGTCAGCGGGTGAGGCGAGGGGTGAATATACGATTCCCACCGCCGATATCTTGCGGGCGGTGAAGCAGCGGGATTTCAACGCCTTTCAATCACATGCGGCTGACATTGTGCAGCACACATGGAAGGAGGAGCACAGCATCCCGGCAGTCTGCTTGCTGTTTTTTCTGATCACGTGGTATTGGGCGTCAAGCTCACGCCGCCGCGTCGTGCGTTCCTGCAAGGCGACCGAGGCCAAAGTGAAGGAAGAGGCAGACCAGACGCTTACTCTGGTGAACACACTTGTGCGGAAATGGAGACAAGATGTTCAGAGGGCGGACCAGCAGCTGCAGTTGATTCTCGACAAGAATAGTGAGCTAACAAAGGACATTGACCGTATGACAGCTGCTCTGCGGCAGTGCTATGTAAATGTGCCGGCCACTAAAGGAGGGCCGGCAAAGAGGGTAGCATCGGAGTAGCGTGCTTCCCGCCGTCTACGCCAAGCTAAAGGGTGATTAATCATTGTTTGTCTCTTGATTTATTTGTTCCTCCCTATTTATTTTTTTCCCTTTACTGCCGCGTGTATCCCAATGCCACAATGGCGTATGGCGGACGGCTTGTCTTTGCTCTTACCCCATCGCTCCTACCGTTTTCTTATTATTTATTATTTATTGTTTATATTTCAGTTTTTTTTTGTTTGTTTTTTCCTGCTGTTGTGTGAAGCTTATTTATTAGCAAGGATGTTTATCTCGCAGATATTTATTTTGTCTCCGCGAGGAGACAAACTTATTTTCAAGGATTATCGACAGGATGCCCCTCGCAATACCGACGAAATCTTCTTTCGCAAGTACAAGTTCTGGGACGGTGCGCAGGGCCATGCACCGGAGGGTGATTGCCCGCCGTTTTTCATGGAGAAGCACGTGAACTTCTGTTACGTCAAGCGACGCGAGCTTCTCTTTGTATGCACATCTGTGGTGAACGTGTCGCCAAGCCTCACGCTGGAGATTCTGCTGCGGATCATCAAGGTGATCAAAGACTACTTGGGCGTTCTCTCGGAGGAAGGCATTCGCAGGAACTTTACGCTGGTGTACGAACTGCTGGACGAGATGATTGACGTTGGGGTCTCGCAGGAGCTCAATACCGAAAACCTGCGACCGTACATCTTCAATGAGGTCGTCCGCGTGTCGGGCTCCGAGACCCCCACAGGGAGCTCGTTTTTAGGACGCCTAAGACGAGGCGAGTTCTTGGATAAGACACGACGGGGTGATGCCACCGCCAATTCCATTCTTCAGGCTTCGAGTGATCGGAAGAACGAGATATTTATCGACATTTTGGAGCGGCTTAACATTGTGTTCAACAGCGCAGGGCAAGTGGTGATGTCGGACGTGGAAGGTTCTATCGTATTGAAGAGTTTTCTGGCCGGTTCCCCCTCTTTGCACGTTCGCTTCAATGAGGATTTAGTAGTGGGGCGGGGTGATGCAAACAAGGAACGGTACGCATCCGTTGTGCTTGACAGTGTGAACTTCCACGAGGACGCCGACTACTCCGGCTTTGAGGGGGAGCGCAGTCTGTCGATACGGCCACCAGAAGGAGAGTCCACGCTTATGAACTACAGACTGGGTGGGAGAGGTACGCCGCCATTTCGTCTTGTACACTCCATGGAGCTTCTCACAACCCACCGCGCGGAATTGATGCTCCAGATACGGGCGGACATTCCCGTCTCAACAAACGGCATTGGTTTCAGTGTCATTGTTCCCATGCCTTCGATCTGTACCGCCGCCAGCGTGGAGTTTGGTCTCGGGGCCACAGAGCAGACATATGAATACAAGGAAGAAGAGAAGTGTGTGATCTGGTACATTGGGAAATTTTTGGGTGGAACGGAGCAGCTGTGCAAAATTCGATTCTCCACGTCTTCACCCATCAAAGCCGCGACGAAGCGTAGCGTGGGTCCCATTTCCATGCGATTTGAGATTCCGCAGTACAGTTTCTCGGGTCTGTGCATCAGAGTGCTTCGTCTCGAGGAACGCAGCAGCTCGTACAATCCAACACGCTGGATTCGTAACGTGACACTTGCGAACTCGTACGTGTTTCGTACCTGCTGATCCAAATTGGATTTCTGTTGTCTATCTCGTTATCGATTTACTTTTCCTGTTTATTATTATTATTATTGTCGTTGTTTTTCCGTGTGCGTGTGCGTGTTGTCGCTGCTGCTCTCACCTGAATGGTTTGATCACGTTTTCTCCATCGCGTGCGTTATGACCGTGCGCCTCACCCACCCGTACCCATCCTTTTTTTATTATTATTCTTTTGCCCTTTTCCCCTTTTACGACTTTGACTTTTTCAACTGCACCGGGCACGGGGATTCATCAAGGAAGGAATCGGCGGGGCAAACTTTGGTGCCCATGACGACGGTGCCACCGTTTTGTGTTGAGCCAACACCGCAACTGCGCATGGGCGTTGACTACCGATGGGATCCTCTTTTTTTTCGTGTACCTTCCCCACGAGGCCCGAGGGTTGATGCGTCGCGCGCGGCGCCGGCAGAACGCGAGGGCGGCGTTTTGCATGTGAAGGAGCAGCAGCGAACCAATGAACGGGGCGGCCCAACCGATATGGCACCGCATCTTACCGCTGGGGCACCACGCAACCAAGCAAGTACTAGCCCTCGGGTATGTTGGCGCCGGGAGTCGACCGGCGATAACGGCCGCGGCTCGCTAGGGATGCTGCGCGCGGAGGATTTTCGGGGTGACCGCGTGCTGCCTTGCCAAAAGAAAATCATTTCTCCCCGAACGGTGATCCGGCCGCCATCGCGTTCCTCGTCCCCCTCGCTTTCCCCGGCTACGCGCAATAGGAGTGAGCGGTCAAGTCCCGCAGTATCCAGGGGACGAAAAGCACGTCCATCCACAGCCGGCCGGGCGATGCCATTGCATTCCCGTGGCAGCAGTGTGGCCCTCTCTTCGCGTCTCACACGTTCTGCTGTTCTGCGGCGTGAGTTCAACACTTCCGATAAGCCTGAAAAAGAACCCCCGGAAAGTTTTTGGGGGACGGCTGATCGGATGCGTTTAATTACCCCACGCGTATCGGCTGACTTTCTTGACACGCGGATGGAACCAAAGTGGGGAGCAGGTACTTTTCTCCCATGGAGTTTGGTTGGTATTGCTGCTGTGCCACGGCACCCTCAGGGTCACGCGTCGGCGTTTGTTCGCTTTGATGCACCCCTGACGCCCCGAGGAACGAGAGCTGCAGCTCTTCGCGTGGAACACGTGAGGCGCAAACTTAATCTTGATAAAGTGCCAGTAGGCTCTGTTGCCCGGTCGCGTCGTTTTGAACGCACAGATGATTTGGGAAGGGCAGTGCTTGGCGCGATGGATGCGAATTGCTACGGGGATGGAGGGGGTGTGTGGCGGCGAAGTGAGCTGCCACCCATTCCGGAGCTTTGGGAGATCCGCATGCCGCACAAAGTGAGTAGAATTGTTCAGAAAAAAAAAGAAGGCACGACGTTGAATTTCAGTAATGGTCCCAACTCCTCCACGAAGAGAAGTTTGACGGCTGAAACACAAGATCATTTGCCAACGGAGGAGGCACCCACAGGCGAAAACAACGGCTTTCACCTTGGCATTGACCATATTGGCGGACTTTGCGAGGAGGAGGGAATTGCCTCCGTATCGTCTAAAGTGGATAGTGGGAGCTGCGCGACCGTGATGACCGGTGAAGTTGAGGGAATGCAGGGGTGGAATGCCCTGGCGGAAGATCAAGATGCTTTCCATCGCAAAACAGGTGATGAAAAAAATGAACAGGCGATCTTGCCTGCTCCGAGTGGTTCATGTCGAGAGTCAGGGACAACGGGAGGGTTTTGCGAGGAAGTGAAGACAGCTTCGCTGCCAGGTGTCACGGCCGACAGGGAAGGCACTCTTCCGCCCATAGATTTTGTGGAGTCGTTGCATGAATGGACCTCTGATGCATTTTCTGAAGACACATGTGTCACGCCACAGAGCCTGGACAGAGAAACAGTGGAGGCGGTGATTGATCCCCCTTCCTACTGGCGTGAGGAGACGTTGCCAATGGTCGAAAGAAACGCCACCTGCGCATCTCCATCCGAGGTGAGTGCTGAAGAGGACATCCCGCTGCCTGTTAACCCTAGAGGGAGGGGAGAAATGGATGCTCCTATCACCGGCTTACCCGCACTCTCTATGACAGGCGGACTCTCTTCCATATCACCTTTAAAGCGTGACCTGGCGGAGCGGTTGGCATTGGTTCGTCGCCATCATCTTCTAGAGCACGCGGCGTTTAAGAGACCAAAGAGGACGAAGCGGACCTCAGTTGACACGTTACGCAAGTACAAAACCCTCCGGCGAGTGGTTTTCATGGACACCATGAGGATTTTCTTTCACAAATGGACTGCCTGGACAAGGCTTCCTGCAGGGACGAGGAGTAGATTGGCGGATCAAGCGGCCCTTTTTACGTGCGGTAATGAACAGACCGTTCTGGTTCCCTCTGCAGCCGTGAGAGAGCGGAACTACACAATTTGCAATGAAAGAGCAACGTCAGGAAGGGAGTACGTCACGCACCGACGAAGGACGGATTTGGTGCGGGAAGAACCATCAACGGAGAGGCACGTCAAACCAACACGTTCCCATTTGTTGCTGAAGGAGAAGAGTCCCCCGCCGTTGTCACAGCAACTGCTGGAGGAGGCGTGCCTTGGGCAGTGGACAGCTGGCTGCGGGAACCCAGGACGACCGATGGAGAAGGAAAAGGAATCTATATGCAGCTTTACTGGCACGAGTTTTTCCTCATACGCTTCAAACACAGAAGCGGATGCCTGTTTTTCTGCCAAGCCATGCGGTGCGTTTGCCGATCACAGGGCGGATGGGCGCTCCACGACCGCCACGCCGTTTGAATTTCCGCGTCCACAAACTCCTGTCAACTGCGCTGTGCAGGAGATGGAACGCACGTCCAGTCACACGCTTGGCGCATCGCTCAATTCAGGAAGGAATTTATCGATGGATGACTCAAAAGGAAGCATAGAAATAGAGGGGGGCATACCCAGCGCCACGAGAGATTTCAGTCCTCTTTATAAAATCAAATACCTCCATTCTGCACTGTAGATCTTTAAAAGCATGCCACCGTCGAAGAGAAACGAGAGAAAAAAAGAAAAAGAAAAAAAAAAAACAAAGGGGAGTTGAAAAGTTGGGAAGAAAGAGGCCGGAATAAGAGAGACAAGAAATGACGAAGACATGCTGAAAAGTCTTGGGACGATTCCTGTTGCGTGCCTTTCATGTTGCGATGTGTGAAAAGAAAGGAAAAAAAATGTATTATTTTTTATTTTTTACTGAAGCGTATTTACGTTTTTATTTATTTATTTATTTATTTAGGGATGAATAAAAGCAGGGGAACTCAAAAGCAAAAAGATAAATAAATGAATCTCCATTCAGCGATGGCACCCCGTGTTTGCAGCAGCAGCAGCTCCTTAGAGAAGAATATGGGTTGCAAGTCGACGATGGTAGAGTTCATGGCATATCATGACGATGCTCAGGAGATTATGTTCGACTCCTACGACAAGGCGACATTCACGCAATGGCAACTCCACCAAGCAGCCGATCCAGATTATAGGGAAGGAGCATCAGACGCCGTTGATCAGTGTTTGGCGAATGACAAGTCGAACGGAGTCTTTAGTGTCTCCCTAGAGAGGGATGTAAATGACAATGAAATCCCCGGTCAAATACTCACTGTGACGCACGCTGCCGACAGTCGATGCAGCTCCGCATGGCAGTCATTTGAGTCCGTTGAAGAACTCTCTGGTGATCTCTCCGTGGAGGAAAAGCTCCCGTTGAACGCCAGTGTTGCCAAAGCAAATTCATTGTCCCTTCATCGCCTCACGGCAGAGGTGTTACGTGCATACAAACAAATGAAACTTGTCGTCCAGCAACGTATTTACAGGCAATATTATATAAATTGGATGCGGTTCCTTACACAGAGACCGTCAAGGACGGTAGAAACACAAACAAGAGAAAATGATGTTTTGTGTGCAGCAAATCCAGGAGGCGCCTTGACCCACAGTGTTGTACGGGTATCTGCAATTGATGTCCTATCACTATCCCTACCCTCTTTAACCTCTGCCTGCAGAAGCGAAGTTGGCGCACGTGATGATGCTAGTGGTAACCGCACGCAATGCGATCTGCGTGAGGGCTACCAGCCAATATTATTTTCTTCACGGAATGTATCCGTCACACCCCTTTGCGATCCTGCGAATTGGCCGAGAAAACCGCCATCGTCTCTGTCAATACGGTCACGAAGCGCACCCTTCCCCCTACAAGATTACGGCCGCCGGTCGTCGCCGCCAAAACGGGCTGTCACACAGCTCCCCATGTTTCCTCACGTAACTTTACCCCTCCTTCTGGACACTGGCTGCCACGTCACGGTTTACCAACCCAACACTCTAAAGTAACCCCGCAAAACCACGTAGAGTGTATAACGTCATCTCAAGACACTCCATACTTCATGGATCTTCTAAACGTCCTACTAGTGACGTGGAAAATAAAACAAACAACGAACCGTATTATATTTACACAATTTGCTTACATAATCCTGAGAACCACTGCAAAAGAAAAAAATATTTCACAGTCAATTTTTAATCCTTATAGATAAATGAGACTAATATTTACTCTAATCCACAGCATCACACCCTCCTTTTCTTTTTTGATTTTTATTTCTTAGCATGATAGCAATTAACGATGCTGTCGAGCGTAAAGAACGTTATTTGCGGTGCGCACATCGCCCCTGCGCACGATGGGAGGAGTAGTGTAGATGTGGATGCGGAGACAGGAGACGTTGTTCTCTGCGACGGGCTGACGGGTGTGTCACGGTTTCACTTTGACAGTGTGACGTACCATCCCTTCCACGCCATGGCGTACGAGTCCGTGCTGGCGCGGCGTGTGGCGGATAACTTTGGCGGTGGATGCCCATACGCCTGCGACACCCCCCCGTGTGCGACGCACGGGGCAGTCATCCACGGGTCGCTCCGCATCCACTCAGTGGATTTGTTTCACGCGTTGGTGCTCTCGGCAGTCGGCCACGCCCTCGACGTGCTTGCGGAGACGAGTGTCGGTGACGTGCAGCTGCACTACAGCATGGTCTGTCTGTACTCGTGGGGCGTCACGGATGCCCTGAACCAGCAGGTTGTGGCACACCGCCACGTTGGCGTCTACACGCACGACACGGACGAATGCTGCCGCCCACAGCTGCAGCACAATGTCGTGAAGAGTCGCGAGGATGCTGCTCTTGATGCTTTACTGCGACGAGCTTGTGCGGTGCCTGGAGCTCATTCTTCCATTATCTTTAGTCTTGTTGCCAAATCGGCCAATGCGTCTGTGTCCGGCGTACTCACTATTGCCCTGTTGCCGCAGCTCAGTCAAGGGAATCGGTTCTTCCAGGGGGGCATGCAACAATTAAGAGAACTTATCGCAGGACACCCCGTGCCACACGACGGACCCTGCTGGTTACTCCAACACCTTTTCCCATCTAAGGAAATACGCAGTCTGGCGATGATCACCTGCATAACAGACGACAGCCGCTTTTATCAGGAAAACTATTACAACTGCATGTACGGTTGTTGTCCGTTGGTGAATGGTTCCGGTTCTGAAGGTTGTTTTCCTGTTTGTGAAGGATCTTTTAATATATTGAATTTTAGATCATCTTTGCCTCAATTTCAACCTTCCAAGTACCGCCATCCAGTAAAATCTATTATTTTACCAGGAACTGGGCTTGTTGAGTCTTGTGAGAAGAAACGAGGGCACATCAGCAGGTCGACGTGTGCTATTCCCGCGACTGTAGATGATGTAGGCGCTACTCAACTCCCCAGCTCTTCTTCAGCAGAGACGGACGCTGCGAAGCGCCTGGAGGCGGAGCTGGAGGAACGCACGAACGACCTGCAGGATCATATGGCATCGGTGGTGAAGGGGGAAGTGGCGGCGAGGCAGGTTGTTTCAGAGTTGGTGTCGCAGGCTGAAACTGTTCGGTCGGAGATCGTGTCGGGGGAACGGTATCTGGTTGAACTGGAGGGAAGAGTGCGTGACGCAAAGAGTCGTGAGGACGAGCTTCAGCAGCATGTGAAGTCGCTCGAGGTTGAGGTGGAGGATCTTTGCGAGGCGAAGTTAATTGTTGAGTCGATGATGCGGGCCCTGATGCAGGAATTTGAAAGTGCTGTTGTGAGTGCCGAGAGCGCAGAGGATACGATGTTGCGTCATGTGGATCGTGCGGAGGAGGTTTTGCGTCTTTTTGAGGCGGACGCGGCTTCACGCGAGGCTGCGGCGATGGAGCGGATTCACGGAATGATTGATTCGTATCATTTGATGGCCCCTGACGATGTGTTTCCGTTGTCGTATGAGAGTGTTGTGTCTGCTGTGGCGGATCTGTTTGACCAGTTTGTTAGAATGAAGTTGGAGCTGCTTTTAGAGTCGTTGAAGTTGTGGGTGTGCCGTATGAGGGCTGAATTCCGCATGGATGCGTTGTAGAATTCAGCGTTGCTGTAGAATTTTTTTTTTGTGTGTGTGCTTGGCTGCTGTTGGCGATTAGTTGAATGCAATTTTAAGCATTTGTTTTTTTTTTCCAAGTTATGTGCATCCTCCTGTCGTATTCGCCACTTTATGTTTATTTGTCTCTCTCTGTGCGTTTGTGTGTTTTCTTTGGGATGGCGTCCCGGCGTCCCTGGTGGCTGTTTGCGCCGTCTTTTGGGCGTTGTTTTGTGTTGATTCCCTTCTTTCCCGCTCCACTGTTGTGTTGTTTTATGTGTGGATGTTTTAGAAGTGAAGTGTCATGGAGAGGCCGGGTTTTTTTGGCGTGCAAGCGGCTGTACTGCTCATTACTTGCAGTTGTTTTGTTGTTGGAACTGCCTCGCAGGAGAATCCTTTTGCGGTGTCCGCAACGCCTTACGTCCGTGTGTCGTATAAAATTGAGCGGGGATTTTTTGAGGCGCATTGGTATGTTGCCTTTCTACTGCTGCTTGTCTCCTTTGCCATTTTGGTGCTGGGAGTGTGGTTTATTATTTACATACATTTTGCCGAACCGGGGCAGTTGAAGCATCTCATTGTGTTGCGCCGTCCCCGTGGGGGTTTTAGGACATCCAGCGAAGGGTCAATGCCTCTTGATTACGTCAATTAATTATTATTATTATTATTATTATTTCGTTATATATTGGTTGTGTTTCACTTAGCAGAAATAAGTGTGTGTTTTTTAAATATATATATATATACCCCCAATTTGGGTGTATTTGTCTCCATCAAAATATTTTTTGTCAAAGCTTTTTTTTTCTTCTTCTTTTTTTTTTGTGTGTGTGCAGTTGTGGTTTTTGTGTGTGTACATAGTGTTACTTCCGATGGGTTACCATATTATTGTTGGGCCTCATTTGGTGTTTGGAAGTATATATGCGTGCTGTGGTGCGTGTTTACATGTATATTTTGTTTTATATGTGTATATTCAAGTGTTTGGTGTGCAAAAGAGGAACCGTCCTGTTGTTGTAGTAGTTGTTTTTGTGTCTTTGTGGGTGGACCTCGCTGCTTGTCGAGTTCTTATTATTATTATTATTTCTATGGCGTCCTCTTTATCTTTTTCCTTTTTTTCTTTGTAGTGTGGTCGATGGAGGAGCTTCAGGGCACTCTTCGGCAAGCGCAGTGCGCTGTGCTCCAGGCACAACAAGATCTGATTGCCCTCCGTCGGATGCGGGATGCGCCGCAGGTGGACGACGGGACGGACGGACATTTGGGCCTGCAGTTATCATCGCAGGCGAAGCAGGAGGAGGCGCTGCGACACCTCGAGCGGGGCACACACCTCCTCTGCGGCCTTCTTAAGGAGAGGGGCGTGGAATCTGCGCCGCAGGAGGAGAGTGGCGTGGACGCAGCGAGGCAGGCGATGCGGCGGTACTTTGAGGGCCAACTCGACGTGCAGCAGCGACGGGAGGAAAAGTTTCAGCAGCAGCTGACGGTGAAGGACATCCAAATTGCCGCTGCGCAGGATGCTGCTGTGACGTTTTTTCAGAGTGCTGTAGCGCGGCGGCTGCGGATGCGGGCACTGAACCAATGGATACGCCGAGCCCTTTGTGCCCGCGCGGATCGCCAGCGCGCAGAGAGCGGACGCCGGTTCAGGAGGAGCTGTGGCGCAATAGCGTGCCGGTATGCAATGATTAGGTCAGGCAGGGAACTGCAGGCACGGTGCTTTTACCGCTGGAGGGCGAAGCGGCTTGAAGCCGCGTTAAAAGTGCAGCGGTGTCGACAACTGGAGCTTGAGGCGGAACTTCAGTGCGCCCAGCACGAGTTGCAACGCGCCGAGTTGGACTTTCAGCAGCACGTGTCACTTAATAGAGCGCATGAACGGCGTGTGCACAACGCAATCTCCCGCGTGGAAGAAGAGCGAGAGGAGGTGGTGACGCGTCTCAAGACGTCTATGGGTGAGATGTCCCGTGAGTTTAGCGAGCGTACGAGCAATTATCTGAGGCAGCAGGAGGAGTTGGCACGGTACTATGCGGAGCGAGAGAGGCGGCTCACACAATATGTAATGACCGCAGAGGAGACGAGTCACAAGGAGGAGCAGCGAGCCGCGGAGCTCGCAACTGTACTGAGAGTGCAGCAGGCATCGTTTGATTCAATGATGCACGTGGCGTGGAGTGCAGTGGATATTTGCGCATCGGCGAAGATCCATTTGCTCCACCGTGCGTCTCTTGCTTTGGTTTGCGATGCAGTGAAGTGCAACGCAGAGCTGACAGAGAAATTGAAAGGGCTAACGAGACAGGTGGATCTTTTTGCCCCGCTGAGCCAGCAGGTGGTGGTTTTGCAGCGACGTTGCGAGGATGCTGAGCGGCATCGTGAAGCGACCCGCGCGGCACTCACAAGTCAGGAGGCAAGTCTGCGGTGCAGAGCGGCGACAGCTGCGACGCTGTTACACCGCGCCCACGTTGCGGGGCAAACGTGGCGCATTTGGAATTCATGGCAACTGCATGTAGTTAACCGAAGGCTTGCACTAGTGGTGCAGACGTCACACGTAGCGTTGAAGGAAGTCAAGAAAGAAATGTGGCGCACTGCGGTTGAGTGGCGGGAACGGCGTTACTGCACCGCACTGACGCAGCTGCTGCAAGACGAGTTCTTCGTTCGACGTTGTGTCACTGAACTGGAAGGTGCCGCACGGCAGTCGTTGCGCTACAAGGCGGAGCGTAAGATGACGGAGTCACGCATGCGCGCAGAGCTCCTGGCAGGGGAGCGGCAGTGTGTGTGGCTGTGGGAGGATGTTGCCAGGCTAACGGCCCACGTTGAACGGTGGAAGCAGGCGGCAAAAGACATTCATCTCACACAACTGCTGAGTGAGCACACAGCTCACCTTGAACGAATTGTCGCCATGGAAGACGCGAAACGTATTTCTCTGCAGTACGAGGAGTTCTGCGAGCAGCAAGAATTACAGCAAGGCTTTCATGCCGTGTGCATTGCTGCAACATTTCATGAGGAGAAGCAGGCGATGCTTGTGGAGCTTGAAAGTGCCACTGGGCAGCTGCAGGATATTGGCTGTCTCCTCGTTGAATATTGCGCACGAAATGCGTTTGGCCGGTGGCTGCTGTTTGCCCACAGGAAGAAGGAACGGCGAGCTCGAAAGCAGATGGCAGCCATTGCTGGAGTCGCCGTGTCTTGGCTCGATTCCTCAACGGGATTGATGACGAGGGTGCAAGACGCCAAACTTCATATGCTACTTTTTCATATGCACCAGAGGACGGCTTGGTTTGTGATGGCGGCAGAATTATCTGCAGCCGAAGCGGCAGCTACTAGAAGCGAGATGGAAAACATACACGCTCAGCGCAACAAACAGTTCTTTAAGGAAATGAAACGTTATGGCACATTGTGTACCGCAATTACTGAGAATGCTGCGAACTGGTGTGCGGGACGCGAGTGCCTCTGGTTAGAATTCTGCCAGGAGGTTTGCAGAGCTGCGGCCGTACCAATTAAGCAGGCAAAGCGGCTTCTTTCCACAGAAAGGTCACTGATGGCCGAACACGTACGAGTCTTTGTTGACAACATGCACTCCATCACCACAGATGCGCTTGAGGCGCAGAAAGAACGGCATGAGACATTGCTTGAGGAGTTATTGCAATACCAAACCTTTCTTGAGAGTAGAATTGCCACCGCGGGTGTTGTAGAAGACGTTGTAGAGCAAAAAAACGTGCGTGAGGAGCGCGAGGCGTACGAGGCACGTATAAGACGAGAGATGGCGGAGATGACTGGATGTGTTGAGTCTCTGCGCGCTGAGCTGAGGGAGAGCAATGTCCGTCGGGGAGAGGAAAGGCGCAGCCACGAGGAGGAGATGTGCGTGCTGCGTTCCCGACTGCGCGAGCAGGAGGAAGCGGCCCAGCAGGCCACCGCACGGATGCGTTCCAAACATAAGCACGAGATGACGGAGCTGCGGGCAGAGATGGATAACCTCCGAAAGATGTCCGTCGAGCGGCGTGATGCAGTTGATGGCATCGTGAGGCAATACGAGCGTGTTTTACTCTCTTTTCAGGAGGAATTGGTGGGCCGTCGTTCTGCTTTTCTCACCGCCGCTGAAATGCTGAGGGATGTAGAGCGCTTTTCGGAGGAGCTCCTGCATCGGTCGGAAATGAACCTGCGGCAACTCCTCGAAACGCGGCAGCACGTGGATGTGCGGCTGCGTGGAGGAGCATTGATGGCTGAGGAGCTGAACGAGCTGCAAAAAGTGCACGAGAGCGAGAAGGCGGCACTCATGGGAGCATTGCGGAATACACAGGAGCAATCGGAGAAAGCATGTCGCCAGCTGCGTGAGGAGCGCGAGGCGTACGAGGCACGTATAAGACGAGAGATGGCGGAGATGACGGGACGTGTTGAGTCTCTGCGCGCTGAGCTGAGGGAGAGCAATGTCCGTCGGGGAGAGGAAAGGCGCAGCCACGAGGAGGAGATGTGCGTGCTGCGTTCCCGACTGCGCGAGCAGGAGGAAGCGGCCCAGCAGGCCACCGCACGGATGCGTTCCAAACATAAGCACGAGATGACGGAGCTGCGGGCAGAGATGGATAACCTCCGAAAGATGTCCGTCGAGCGGCGTGACGCAGAGCAGGGGGTGCCGTCATATCATGAGAAGCAGCAGCAGCAGCAGACACATACGCTTCAGTTGGAGGGGAAGTGCTACAATTGTTGTCTGCAGGAAGCAGAGGGCCGATACACGCTGTTGTGGGAGGAGCTTCAGGAAATGCGGGAAGTATGTCGTATCACTCACGGGACGCTGGCGGCGATGTCAAGGAAGCAGTTTAACGCCAGCGACTTCTGCAGCAGAAAAGACTTCTGCCAATGGGTCGTGGGCGGTCTCTCGCAGTTTGCGGAGACGGTGACTGCTGCTGTCTTTCGCCTCCTCGACGAGAAGAGTCGTCTTTTTCTTGGGTGCGGCGTCGAATTCCTTCGACGAGAGCGGCCTGGCGTGACAGACTGGGCGTCATTGCATGCACTGCGGGGGAGGTCGCACCACCGTTGTTCTGGTGCCTCGCCCGCCGTAGTGGCTCCGTTGCGCCGCTCAGTTTCCACAGAAGACGTGACGCGGTCAATGGTGCGGTATTCAAAAATGCTTAACGAACAGCGCCGCAAAAATGACACACGACTTTCTCAATTTGAAGTGCTCGTAACGCAATTTGATGACCTAATTGAGCGCGGCCGTGCCGTGTCGCAGCTGGAGATGAGCCCCAGGGACTGTCTGGAGCTCTCCATGTCGCGTGGTAGATAACACCACACGCTTCGGTTTATCATTGCCATTGTGATTAGTTATGGGTTGATTTGGGCACAGGAAGAGCGTGTGCCTGCAGTTATTATTATACGAACAGTAAAGCAGAGGTGGTGCCATTGCAATCGCATAAACAAGTGTATTTATCTCAGAGGGGTTAAAGGAAGGAGTGCTCGCAATTATGTGACCTTCTGCCTTTCTCATGTGCGGCACGTTCCCGTCCTCCTGTAGTCTTTTTTGGATTTATTCCTGCACATAAATCTTATTATTATTTTTTTTTTCTTTCTTACCATCGAAGAACTTCACTGATTGTAGAAGCTGCGAAGGTGCTGCAGAGAGCAGGGGCCCGAAGGAAATCAACACCGTACATACGGACTAACAGAGACACAGAGGGGGACGTGATGGAGATGGACGACGGGGATGAGAGCCTTACCAAGGCGAAGCTCTACGCGACCATGTCTGACGACGACTCGTGGACGGAGATGGGTGTCGGTGTCGTGTCTGTCGTCTTACGCTCCTCTGCAGCTCTGGACTGCGAAGATAGCGATGGTAATGGTACGGAGCGGGCAGTTGGCCATCTTGAGATGATTGACATCGATAATCCGGAGGAGTTGCTGATGAGTACACCCATCACCCTCTCGGATGCCTATGTTGTCCAGCATGAAACCATTCTTTGGTGGTCTGACCCACAGCTGGGTCGCCTCATGGCGTGTAGCTTCAATACGAAGGAAGGGTGCGAGAAGATCCATAAGGAAATTGTGGCGTATCAGCGATCTAGGAGGAGCGTCATTTCACAAGAAATAAATGGCGGTGAGGTGGCCAGTGCATCGTCCCTCTGCAGCCACTGGACAGTGTGTCGCGAAAACCTACCAGCTATTCTTTCTGCCGCCACGACCAATGCCCAGCGTTTTGGCGTGTATGTGCGTGGCCGCGACACCTACTTTAAGGAGCTTGCGGAGCTATTTCAGGCGTGTCAGCGTGACGAGGACGTACGCGGCATGGAGTTGACGGGCCATATTACATTGGCCCTGTTGCGCTCTCCATTTAACACCGATGGAAAAAATATTGCGCAATTTGTGGAGAACTCGCT